GGAGCCGGATAGGTGGAGGATCAAATCTGGGCATGTCCCGTATGGGTCTTGCTCTGTACTCTTTTACAGGGCTATTGTGGAGAATGAACTCTATGCTCACCAGTTTGGCCTCCTTAGTATCTCGAGATCATAGCAAACCATTGCGGCTTGATGTGGGCTGGAAACTGACCATAGAATCCCACAATTGAGGGATTGAGAGAGATACATCTGTATTCAGGCGAGTAGCTCTGTTATGGAAGTACTCCTGAATCCGCAACCATTGGATGCAAACACGTGAAAAATTGCTACTCACCAGGGTGCGCTCTTTCTTCTTTTCATCATCCTTTTTCGCTCATAGGCAAAAGTGGTGCCTTTGAATACTGGCACCCAAAGTCCCCTACGATATGCAAATAGTGAAGATGCATAACGGGAGTCCAGCAAGAGCAACTTGATGCACTTTGGCACGCCTTGATCCGTGTTCCCCATGTACAAGGGTCTCAATGTGTATTGTTAATTTTGCCAGCTCCTCTATATTATTATTATTATTATTATTATTATTATTATTATTATTATATTGTATGATTATGAAGGAATCAAACAGCAGCCCTCTGCCAAATATAGACATTACAGATCTGCCTGATTCTCATTCCTGCAAACCTACATCCATTTCTGAGTCCTCAAGAGGGATGATGATGATGATGATGGTGGTGATATTGATTATATTAAGACAGTGTTTCTCGTCTGGGGGTCGGGACCCCTGAGGGGCGTTGTGAGGGGGGTTTCAAAGGGGACACCAAAGTCCCTCAGAAAACATATATTTCTGATGGTCTTAGGAGCCCTTATGGTAGAGAAGGTTGAAGCTCTCTCCGCCTGTCCTTCTCTTCCTTTTTGGTGTTAGTAAACTACAACTCCCAAAATTAAAAAAGGCCCCCCCCCCCAACCGTACCAGTATTCAATGCTGGCCAAACTCCACCACTTTTACATTTGGGTGTATTGAGTATTCGCGCCAAGTTTGGTCCAGATCCATCATTGTTTGAGTCCACAGTGCTCTCTGGACATAGGTGAACTACAACTCCAAAACTCAAGGTCAATGCTCACCAAACTCTTCCAGTATTTTCTCTTGGTCATGGGAGTTCTGTGTGCCAAATTTGGTTCAATTCCAATGTTGGTGGAGTCCAGAATGCTCTTAGATTGTAGGTTAACTATAAATCCCAGGAACTACAACTCCTAAATGACAAAATCAGTACTCCCACCCCAACCCAACCCATTCCACCCCACCAGTATTCAAATTTGGGCGTATCGGTTTTGTGCCAAATTTGGTCCAGTGAATGAAAATACATCCTGCATATCAGATATTTGCATTACAATTCAAAACGGTAGCAAAATTACAGTTAGGAACTAGCAATGAAAATAAGTTTATGGTTGAGGGTCACCACAACATGAGGAACTGGATTAAGGGGTTGCGGCATTAGGAAAGTTGAGAACCACTGTATTAAGAGGTCTCTTTCATTCCAGGAGCAGGCAAATACCTTTTCCTCCAGTGACTAGTTTTTCAGTTCTAAAGAAAAACCTTCCCACAAGTCCCAAGCCTGCTGGACTACAATTCTCATGCCGGCTGTGGATAATGGGAGCTGTGCTTAATCTCTTCTGGAAGGGTGACAAGAAGGCCCCTGTGAGAGAGAGAACGCTGATGCTGCAAAATCCCAGCCGTGCGTTGAGCATTTTCAAAACCTTAGCTGCTCTCCTTGTGCTAACGCTGGATCCATAATGTATTGCCTTTCTGTAACAATAGAACTTGGGGGCAGACTATTTGGGTGGTGAGGGTTGTTCCAAGCTGAACACCTATCCAGGCTTCAACCTAACCCAGTCCTGCTTAGCTTCAAGAGGGGAAGGGGCACCATAGCTGGCCTGTCTCTGAAATGGAGCAAGGCCCTACTATAGTCAAAGCTACAAATGAAGAAGAAGAGCAGCCAAATTAGGAGTGTGCTTTCCCTGCTGCGAAAACTACTTTTGATGAACTCAGCTTGCAGCGATTGAAGGAAGCTGAGGACAAAAGGGGAAAACGAGGAGAGGAAAACCAGGACATTTGAAACCCATCTAGGAAAGTGGGATGGCAGAGAAGGAACTGGAGTTGTCCCTGCCAAACTGGGGCAACTGGACACTGTGACATTCTCAGGGCACCCATGGAAGTCCTCCTTTGGGGTAGCTCTGCTGCTTTCTTTGGCAAAATCCTCCCTTTCTTTTTGGGGTGCAGTTCTGTATCCATCTGCTGCCAGATTTTCACCCATTAGGCCAGGGGAGGACTAAGCCCAAACTTCAAGCCACACTTGGCAATCCCTTCTCCAAAAGACAGAGAGGTGAAAGGCTAAGGAGGAGTCCCACATGATGCCTAGTGCCCCTCAAAAGGCGCAGAAATGGCCAAGTTGGCCAACCTCACAAAGAAGAGAAAAGTTGGGCGCCAGAAGGAAATAAGACCTACAAAACTATTGTTAGACCCTCCTGAAAGGCTGGTGAGTCCGTCCGATAGATTCAAAGGAGCTCCTGTGGCCAGATTATCGTGACCAGGTTAGCCGGGCACAAGCCACAAAGGCTACACATCCCCTACAAAGACACGCATCATTTGACCGTCAAAGATAACATTCATAACTTAGGAGACACTAGTCCTCAGGACCGCACTGCAAGTCTTATAACTGCATAGTTAGAAAGAGCCAAAGAATGTCATCACAGGACCCAGTCTGAGTTCCAAGCAATAGAGACACTCCTGGTTGGACTGCAATGCCCAGAACCCCCCACCAGCCTGATACCAGTCCCTGATGTATTGCTCACAAAAGTAAGGCATCCCTTTGCTCTGGAACACATCCTGTCAGCATCCCATCATCTCTCCCTTTTGCCATCCAGGCTTCTGAGACCCACATCTCCGGTGGGTGGAGTGGACCAAATGGAGCACAAGACCGATCCTGGGTGCCCACACCATGTCAACGGCAGCCCACTGTACACCTGACACTCGTTGCCAGGTCTTCTGCTGCACAATCCCATTTGGAGAGGGGCAGAGCAAAGCCTCGCTTTCCGCAGCTCATTGGACGCCTCCCCCCCACCAACCCTGGCAAACTTTTGCAAGCCCCAAAGCAGATCTCCCAGGGAGTCAGGAGGGACACTTGCATCCCTTTAGGGCTATTTGTTTGTTTTGATGTAGTTGTCGGAAGCGACCGAGAAGTTGGAGAGCCAAAGATGTCCTCGCTGAATTGCCGGACAGGTGGCTCCTCGCCAAGGGTGCGCCGTCACCGTTGAAATGAATGCAGCTTGGCACCGCTCAAAAAGGCTCTGGGATCCCTGGGAGTTGTAGTCCCACAAGGTCTTCAGCCATTGCTGCTGAAGAGTGCCTCGCCAAACGACAACTCCCAAGATCCCAGAGCATTGACTGAGACGTAGCAGTTCAAGTGATGCCAGGCTGTGATGCTTCCCCCGAAGAATTGCCCACCGTGGCCAAAGAGCCACCCTCCGACTCACGCCATTATGCCAGCCACCCTTTACCCCAATGTTTCATTCTCAAACCCCAAATGCTTTTCTTCTCTGGGCAACCACTTTCCCTCTGCAACTGCATCCAAGTGGCACTCTCCTCTGAGCATGGAGGTTTGGATGCCACTTCTTTGCCCGCAATCCCTGCAGCTCAGATTAGAAGATCCATTGGAGCAAGTGGACTGACACGTAGCCATGTCCCATAGGGACCATAGGTCTATTTGATTTGGCATTTAGACCAGAGGGCCAAAGGGAAGGCCAGGGAGCATGACCAAGGCTACTTGGCCAATTGGTGACAGAAGTGGGCAAGCATTCCAACCATTGCAGCTTACCCCGGGCATCTCCAATGGCTCCCTTTGCTCTGGAGTTGGGCACCTTCTCCCCCAACTTCAACTTGCATTGCCTCAAAGTGTCCTAGGAGACCCACAAGATGCCCAAGTGGACCAAATCCCATCATCCCTGGCCCACTGGGGTGATTGATCTGCAGCTTGAGAAGAGGGCTACCAGCTGGGAAAGACTGCCCGGTTTTTCCCAGGATATCATCTTGGACATCAAATGACAGATTTCAGCACAGGAAATGGGTCAGACTAGATGGTGTTGGGATCCCTTCCAAATTTGGGAGGCTATAATTTTCTCCATGGCTGCCACTTGCTACTTTGGTAGAAAGGGAGACAAAAGGTGCCAGTGGCATGCATGGATCAGAATGGTGGTCCCCAAAGGGGCGCTCAAGAGAGACGCTGGGGCAGATGGGAAGTATAGTCCCACTTAGGAAAGCCTGCCCCAATTGGGTTTGGCAATGGAACCCATTGCCTCACTTCCAAAGTGCCACCCCAAAGTCTTCCCTGGACTTCGCAGCCGAATATGGCAATTTGGGTCAGAAGCCCATGTCGCCAGCACACATCCATGGAAAGCATGGTGAAACAGACACACAGAGCTCATTGAGACCCTCGGGCAGTCTTCCCAGTGCAAATCCCATCCTCTGTTGCCCACCTCCAGAAGAAGGCCCCAGACCAAGAGGCTCATCGTCTATTTTTGCCCAGTGGTTGGTATGGACAACGGGTCAGGCTAGATGACCCTTCAGATTTCGGAGGCTGCAGTTCTCCCCATCATTCCAGGGAAAGATCCCCAAGGTGGCAATGGAGCGGAGTGCCTGGCACACCCCTTGGGTGAGCAGGGGTGTCGCACCCAAGGGAGTCTCCCTCCAGATGTGGGGGTGGAAGTGGTGGGGCTCCTTTGGCTTGGAAAAGCCCTCTCGCAATGCCCAGACCCTTTCCCTTCAGATGATACGGGGCAATGGGAAGCCCCTGGATCCACCCTGACTGATGCCGCATGCATGCCCAAATAGATGCCACCTGCTTCCAAGCCCATGATGCTGAGGCCAAGACGGATTCGCCTTCCCAGCCGGGGCCAGCTCAGGAGAGGGTCGCCGGGCCAGGAAATGGGGGAAGCCTACCCCGAGCCCCTCTAGGCCGCCTCTGGGCTGGACTTAGGTGTCATAGACTCACCTCCGAGCCAAAGGGACCAGTCACAGCAAGCCGCAGCAGAAAGGCTTCCTCCACAAAGCTTGGCCAATCTCCCACTAAGGGATGCGGGCCAGGCAAGCAGATAGGACCAGAGGCAAGATGCACAATGGCAGGCAGTGAATAGGGAGCGCAGGCAGGCTCTCTGCTACATTTCCAGCCCAGCGACAGCAGCGATGTGCAGCAAAGGCAGGAAGGAGGGAGAGAAGGGGGGGGCGCAGGAGAGCGCATGCACGCGCGTGGCTGCTGTCACTCGCCCTGCCTGGGTGCAGCTGTGGAGCCCTCTCCCTCCTCCTCTTTCTCTATCCATATATCCATCCCTCCCCCCCCCCCACCTTCTTTCAGCATGCGCAAGAGGCCCACTGATCAATACCCGCCTGCTGCTGCTGTTGCTCAGAGTTGTGCCAAGGGAGAAGGCCTGGGAGGCTTTGGCCAAGCAACCGGGTGGCCCTCTGCCCCATGGAACCCACACTAGCACAGCCACAGACCCTTGCATGCTCATGGATTCCTAGACTCTGAAGCATCTGTCAGAGGAGAACCCCAAAGGCCATCCAGTCCAACCCCCAATCTGCAAGGCCCGACAGGCTCGATTCATTGAGCCATTGATCCTAAAACCCTCAAATAGGAAGGGACCCCAAGTGCCATCCAGTACAACTCCCTTCTGCTAGGGATGGGAGAGCCGACTAGTAGAGACTTTATCCCACAGCACCCCCTTTTTGCACCCTCCCAGTCACATGCCCCAGACTTCATCCTACTGGACATGTCAAGTATCTGGAAGTGTGGGTTTACCATATGGCTCAGGCATACTCCGTTTTGAAATGAAATGGAGGATTTTCCAAGCTCCATCACACACTAGCAAACTCACTTTTATTCAGGACTTCTGTGTTGATTTGCCATCATGTTGTTGAGAGTTGTTCCCATCCACTGTTCCTAATGCCATTTTCTTTGCGAAAAGAAACATCTCCTCTCCCAGACTATGCTTTTTTCCCCTGGGTTATCAATATCATTTTTTAATTGGTTCTATCATAAACACATGGGAAAACTTGATGAAACTGCCAAAACTTTGTATTTGCAGGAGGGACATCCTGCTAGAGCACCTTTTGCTCTAGTTTCTCAATGATTGGATATCTTGTAGAGCAATGGTTCCCAACCTTTTTTTGACCAGGGACCACTTTGACCAGGGACCACTCTCTAACATAGTACCAAAAGGGTTACGAATCAGTTTTTGGTCAACTTTAGATTTGGTTTGGTTTTTTGGGGTGCTCATTCAGAAAATTGCATTGGATAGACCACATCAGCTCTAGTTTCTGATACAGAACATATACCATCCAGTAGTCGCCATCTGCTTACCCATAGAAAACCATATTTCAGAATCTACGGCTGATGTGGTAGTAGTAATCTTTCATGGGTAGTCAGTCTCTCCCCCTCCTGACATCCCTGTTACCTCGGCACTACAAGAGGGTTTGGTGAGACCAGTTGCTCTCGTTGCCATGTGGTTTCGAATCAACGGTGTAGTAATGGTGAGACTGCAGACTATATTTTCCTTCTTGCGGACTACTGGTTGTCTACAGACCACAGGATGGGAACCGCTGTTGTAGATTCTCCACCAATTTAACAACATCTGTGGGCCCAAAAACAAAGTTTCTGGTGCACAACAACTCCTTTCAAAGTAAGGGTTACACAATTAAACAGGAAATAACACTTGCAAACTAGAAACATGTTTTCTTTGTTGTTCATTCGTTCAGTCGTCTCCGACTCTTCGTGACCTCATGGACCAGTCCACGCCAGAGCTCCCTGTCGGCTGTCACCACCCCCAGCTCCCTCAAGGTCAGTCCAGTCACTTCAAGGATGCCATCCATCCATCTTGCCCTTGGTCGGCCCCTCTTCCTTTTGCCTTCCACTTTCCCCAGCATAATTGTCTTCTCTAGGCTTTCCTGTATCCTCATGATGTGGCCAAAGTACTTCAACTTTGTCTCTAGTATCTTTCCCTCCAGTGAGCAGTCGGGCTTTATTTCCTGGAGGATGGACTGGTTGGATCTTCTCGCAGTCCAAGGCACTCTCAGCACTTTCCTACAACACCACAGCTCAAAAGCATCGATCTTCCTTCGCTCAGCCTTCCCTAAGGTCCAGCTCTCACATCCGTAGGTTACTACAGGGAATACCATGGCTTTGACTAGGCGGATCTTTGTTGCCAGTCTGATGTCTCTACTCTTTACTATTTTATCGAGACTGGACATTGCTCTCCTCCCAAGAAGTAAGGACGTCTTCTGATTTCCTGGCCACAGTCTGCATCTGCAGTAATCTTTGCACCTAGAAATACAAAGTCTGTCACGGCCTCCACTGTTTCTCCCTCTATTTTCCAGTTGTCAATCATTCTTGTTGCCATAATCTTGGTTTTTTTGATGTTTAGCTGCAACCCCGCTTTTGCGCTTTCTTCTTTCACCTTGATTAGAAGGCTCCTCAGCTCCTCCTCGCTTTCGGCCATCAGAGTGGTGTCCTCTGCATATCTGAGGTTGTTAATGTTTCTTCCAGCAATTTTCACCCCAGCTTTGCATTCATCCAGCCCCGCACATCGCATGATGTGTTCTGCATACAAGTTAAAAAGGTTAGGTGAGAGGATGCAGCCTTGCCGTACGCCTTTCCCAATCTTGAACCAGTCTGTTGTTCCGTAGTCAGTTCTGACTGTTGCTACTTGGTCCTTGTACAGATTCCTCAGGAGAGAGACAAGGTGGCTTGGGATGCCCATCCCACTAAGAACTTGCCACAATTTATTATGATCCACACAGTCAAAGGCTTTAGAATAGTCAATGAAGCAGAAGTAGATGTTTTTCTGAAACTCCCTGCCTTTCTCCATTATCCAGCGGATATTGGCAATCTGGTCTCTCGTTCCTCTGCCTTTTCTAAACCCAGCTTGAACATCTGGCAACCCTCGCTCCATGTATTGCTGGAGTCTTCCTTGCAGGATCTTGAGCATTACCTTACTGGCATGAGAAATAAGGGCCACTGTACGGAAGTTTGAGCAGTCTTTCGCATTTCCCTTTTTTGGTATGGGGATATAAGTTGATTTTTTCCAGTCTGATGGCCATTCTTGTGTTTTCTATATTTGCTGGCATATGGCATGCATCACCTTGACAGCATCATCTTTTAAGATTTTAAACAGTTCAGCTGGGATCCCGTCATCTCCTGCTGCCTTGTTGTTAGCAATGCTTCTTAAGGCCCATTCAACCTCACTCCTCAGGATGTCTGGTTCTAATTCATTCACCACACCGTCAAAACTATCCTCAATATTATTATCCTTCCTATACAGATCTTCTGTATAGTCTCGCCACCTTCTCTTGATCTCTTCAGCTTCTGTTAGGTCCCTGCCATCTTTGTTTCTTATCATACCAATTTTGCCTGAAATTTACCTCCAATGTTTCTAATTTTCTGGAAGAGGTCTCTTGTCCTTCCTATTCTGTTGTCTTCTTCCACTTCCATGCATTGCTTATTTAAAAATAGTTCCTTATCTCTTCTGGCTAACCTCTGGAATTGCGCATTTAACTGGGCATATCTCCCTATCACTGTTTCCTTTTGCTTTCCTCCTTTCTTGGGCTACTTCCAGTGTCTCAGCAGACAACCATTTTGCCTTCTTGGTTTTCTTTTTCTTTGGGAACGTACTTTGTTGCCGCCTCCTGAACAATGTGTCGGACTTCTGTCCATAGTTCTTCTGGGACTCTGTTTACTAAATCTAGTCCTTCAAATCTGTTCTTCACTTCCACTGTATATTCGCTAGGAATGTTAGTGAGATCAGATCTAACTGGTCTGTGTATTTTCCCTGATCTCTTTAGTTTTATTCTAAATTGGGCAATAAGAAGTTCGTGATCTGAGCTACAGTCAGCCCCAGGTCTTGTTTTCACCGACTGGATGGATGTCCGCCACCTTTGGCTGAAAGGATGTAGTCAATCTGATTTCGGTGTTGACCATCTGGTGAGGTCCATGTATAAAGCCGTCTTTTAGGTTGTTGGAAGAGAGTATTCGTTATACACAGCGAGTTTTCCTGGCAAAATTCTATCAGCCTGCGTCCCGCTTCATTTTGTTCTCCCAGACCATGCTTGCCTGTGATCCCTGTTGTCATTTGACTTCCCACCTTGGCATTCCAGTCTCCTGTAATGAAAATAATGTCTCGTTTTGGTGTATTATCCAGTAGGTCCTGCAGATCCTCATAGAACTGATCTACTTCTGCTTCTTCAGCAGCTGTGGTTGGGGCGTATATTTGGATCACTGTAATGTTGAAAGGCTTTCCTTGCACTCGAATTGAGATTATTCTGTCATTTTTTGGGTTGTATCCAAGCACCGCTTTAGCGAATTTCTTATTAATTATGAAGGCTACTCCATTTCTTCGATGTTCCTCTTGTCCGCAGTAGTAGATCTGGTGGTCATCTGATGTGAAGTGGCCCATTCCAGTCCATTTCAGTTCGCTGACCCCCAGAATGTCTATCTTTAGTCTTGACATCTCACCAATAACAACATCCAATTTGCCCTGGCTCATAGATCTTACATTCCAGGTTCCTATGGTGTGTTGATCTTTAGAGCATCGGATTCGTCGTTCACCTCCAGTACCGTCGGCCGCTAGCCTTCCTTTCGGCTTTGAGCTAGCTGCGTCATCACATCTGGGGCTAGTTGAACTTATCCTCTGCTCCTCCCCAGTAGCATTTTGGCCATCTTCCGACCTGGGAGTCCCATCTTCCAATGGCATACCGACATATCTCTGGTTGTACTGGTCCATTTAGTTTTCTTGGCAAGGATACTGGAGTGGTTTGCCATTGCCTTCCCCAGGGATCCCGCTTGGTCTGACCTCTCTGCCACAACCGTCCCGTCTTGGGTGGCCCTTCACGGTTTCGCTCATGACATCATTGAGGTGCTCAAGCTCCAGCGCCCCGACAAGGCGGTGATCCTTTGCTGGAGTGTTTTCTTTACTATTATTATTATTATTCAGGGTGCATTGATTGCGTTTTTGGCAGAAAGAAGGGGACTGGACTAGATGGCTTTTGGGATCACCCAAAAGAGGAGGAGGAGGAGAGGAGGAGGAGGAGGAGGAGAGAGGAGGGGGGAAGAGGAGGAGGAGGAGGAGGAGGAGGAGGAGAAAGGAGGCATCTGGGGCTCTCCCTTTGCCATCCATTCCGATCCCTCTCTCTCTCTCTCTCTCCCTCCTTCCCCATGTTGGAAGAAGGAAGGAAGGAAGGAAGGAAGGAAGGAAGGAAGGAAGGAAGGAAGGAGAGGAGAGGAGAGGAGAGGAGAGGAGAGGAG